TATCTAACAGTAACATGTAAAAAAACAAACAGCCTAGCATGCTTACAAAAATTCCTTTCCGAGGGAGAGTGTGGCTGGCAAACAAGCAAACAATAGGCAAGTATGACTGACAAAAAGATGTGGCAATTCTTTTTTCCTCATAGGCACTTGTTACACAAGGTATGAAGTTTGATGAACTAACGTTACTTCTGATTAAAGAATGATGATGCATTGGTGTTTTAATTGAGCAGTATCTTCAAATTACTGCAGACTTATCTAACACAGACTCTTTAGCCACTTTCATTATCTGTAACAATAGCATCAGAAATTAATAACTGATAGGTAATAGGGGTAAGAAATGTCTTGTGTATTTAACTAATTTTGCATACATTCTGATTAGGTACAACCCAAACAAAAATGACCAAACACATCTAGGCACCAAGCCTGCATTGAAATCAGGCAGGTTTATTGTACAGGGCTTACAGCAACAACCGAATGACCCTCATCAAATATGAAATCGCTCCAGGGCATCTGTTAAGAAGGTAATCTATGCCTTCTCTCTAAAGTATGAATTTACCAACAGCATCTTTTGCTTGCTATTATTGAAAGCATTAATTAGTTTTAAGTAAAAGAAAATACATAACCACTCACTGAGTAAATACTTATCACATGGCATGCCAGTGTTCACTGCAGGAGATACCTAAGAGAGACTCTCTCCTTCCATGATGAGTACACAGAACAGAGATATGAAAGAATACATTGATTACACAATAAAGGCCCACAGAGTGTGGCTTGAAGTGCAGAAAAGAGGGCGATTAGAACAGTGAATAAAGGATAAGCAAAACATTCTAACAGATAATTCCTGGCAAATAAAATGACTAGACACATAGCTTTTCACGAGAGCATGGCGCACTGAGAGGAGCTATACTGCTAAGATGGGGGAATAAGGTTAAGGGGATTAAGTACGTGATGTGAGTGAAGTAAGTGAAGGAGGATGCGAGCCAAAGGGTCAGATCATGGAAATCGTCAGATTTTCAGCCAGTTAAGTAAGCTGTACTTGCATTTTTAGAAAGGCACAGCTGTTGTTGCATGAAAAGCCAACAGGGGACCCACACAGATGCGTGATTCTAGCATACGGGCAGAGAGCATTTAGCTCCAAGTCAGATCCATGGCTTGAGGCTTGAGGCACAAAGGAGACCAATTTGACACTCATGGGCTGCAAGGGAAAGAAGGCTTTTTAGGGTGACTCCCAAGGTTTGGGCTTAGGCTAGTAGGTGAATAATGACAGGAAATCCCATGACCAGTAAAGAAGAGTCTGTGTTACAGGTGGTCAGAGTGGAAGCTTTAGTGGCCTCCAAGGAGCCGCGCCAAGGGGCATCCCAATACAAATCTGAAGCTCAGGAGGGAAGCAGGGGCTAGAATCACACAGTCTGGCCTATGGATGTTAGCTGACGCCACAAGAACAGTTAGGCGTTTACAGAGACTACAGAAGGCAGCTAAGGGCTGATCACCAGAGAAAGTCAGCAACAAAATAAGGCAGAGGGAAAAAGAACAAAAAACGAGGGAATGGATCTTGATCTGAAAGTCCAGTTGCTCAAGATAATGTACAAATTCAACAACAAGAATAGAACTTGCAGTAATTTTAACTATAATCTGAAAGTTGTTTAATATATGGAAAGAAATTAAAATTAGTTTAGGAGTAAGTCTAGAAAATTAAAGAACATTTAAATTTTAAAGAAGATATTACCTATTCTGAAATAACCGTCTTCTAACCATTTGTCTTTGGTTTGTTTGCTTATTTTCAAGTCTTCACTCTAAAATAAAATAAAGACAAATTTAATATTTAATGTTTTATTAAATGTTATTATTTTATCTTAATGAATGTAAAAGTTAAATTTTTTGGCACAGCTCCCTAAAAAGAGAAATGTCCTTTCAGTCTTGAACTTAAAAGGTTTGACAATAAAAGTTTTTTAAAAAACAAAAATGCTATCTTAAGCAGTATAAAATATGTTGGTGGTAAGAAAAGAGTAACAGTAAGATAGAAAAACATTATTTTGATAGAAAAACATTTTCTATTTGAAAAAT